CACACACACACACACACACACACTCTTACAGGCACACTTACACACACACACACACACACACACACACACACACACACACACGCTCACGGGCACAATCTACGTTGCCCTCCAATCTCCGGCACGTATATACATGGAAAAAAAACCCAACTAATTGTGTTGCAAGTGCCGTAAAACTCTTCCTAAAACAACGGCACAGAATATAATCCTTCTCTTTCTCTCCCGTTCCCACAGAGTTCTACCCCTGGGGTCCGAGCGTGAACGACAGCTCTCTCAACCGCACGTACTATTGGTGGTGGTCCCACTCAAGTGAGGCCTTGTCAATCGACGGAGGTGCGCCCCTGGGCTCCAGCCGATTCGATACGATTTATGTGCGTTTGCCCATCAAGATTGAGGCGTATTTTGTTCTTCTTATTTAAATAGCGCTTTTTACTTACTGTCTCTTCTAGTTTCGGTGCTGATCGTTGACTTTATGGTGTGTTCACATTGTAGTTTTGGTAGTCAGATTCGATACGATTTATGTGCGTTTGCCAATCCAGCTTCAGGCGTATTTTGTTCATCTCAATCTTTATTGTTCAGATATCTGGCACACAGGTTTGGTGTTTTACCACAAACACACAAACACACACACACACACACACACACACACACACACACACACACACATACACACACATACATAATATACACACATATACACACACAAACACACACATACACACATATTAATAGCGCTGTTTACAGTCTCTTCCCTTTGTTGTTTTGATCGACACATTTACAGTGTGTACACATTAAGACCAATTTAAAAAAAAAATAATGCAGTACACATAAATACAATAATTATAGTTATTGAGTTCATGTGCAGTGTGTGTGTATGGGTGACTTCGACAGTCTAGTGGTTAGGCTTCGGGAATATCGCATTCGTGAGATTACGGATTCGGAGGTTCGAGCAGCGAGTCCGACATTGTGTCCTTGGGAAAGGCACTTTACACGAATTTTCCTCACTCCACCCAGGTGGAAATGGGTACCCGGCCATAGATAGCGAAAGATCTTGTCAATATGTTAGTGTTTTAGCGCCTGTAAATAGCTGCTTGCACTGTATGTTTCCCTGGAAGTTGAGATTGTTTCAGAATGCTCTCAGGTCTGCTGGAGTAATAGTATAGATTGTGAAACTTCCTGTTGATCATGGATGTGTGGTACAATGCAGTTATCATCATCATCATCATCATCATCATCATCATCATCATCATCATCATCATCATAATAATAATAATAATGATTATTATTACTATTATTATCATTATTATCATTATTACATGTTTATTGTCTATTGTTATTTTTATTATTATCACCATTTTTATTATTATTACTACCAATATTATTACTACGGCTATTATTATTATATATATATATATACTAACTGGGCCTCCTTTCGATAAACGGAATGACCAGTGCATTAACATCAACTGAAAGTCATTGACCTAGTCTACTGGAATGGAACAATAAACTTGAGAGATGCAAAAAAAAATTAGAAGGTCTAGATTATCTAGATCTAGATCTATAGGCATATTCTCAAAACAAAATGCGGCTCGCAAAATATCACTTCCGCACAGAAGCGTCAGCATACAAAAGCGATCGGCGAAGTAAATAAAATTTAGCTTTTTGCTGCAAAACTGTCTCAAAACTGAATAATGATCTGGGGAACATTTTAAAGAATCTTTTGGCGAAAACGGCATGTCGATCGATGCAGCCATTAAAAAGCCTTTTGAATAGCAAAATTCGGCCACCACAAAGAGATAATAAATAATGTAAATATAATATATTTTATTTAAAAAAATATTTTTTTGTGTGTTTTAAATAATCCATCCAGGTGTTGCCAAACGGAGTGATAACGTTCGGCCCCAAGCAGTACGCATGGTGGCCTAATCTGTCCTACGCTGACGGCAGGGTTCGGAACCTGATCGCTCCGTTCTGGGCGTACACGGACTACCAGAAGGGCCAGGTGTTCTACCAGCTCTACGACAGGATCAACAACGACTCGCCCAACGTCTTCTCCCTGGCCACAGCTGACGTGAGTCATGTGTGAGCTTTTAGTTTCAGTAGAGTTTTTGCAGCGCACGCAACTGTATAAGGGTCATAGGTGCGCCAAGGGGTGGGTGTCAATACAGAAGTCTTTACATAAGCGCTCAGAGCCTGTGTACTTTAATTGGGGTTGAGCGCTACATAAATATCATTTATTATTATTACAGTTACAGGGAATCAGGTTTACTCTGTTCACCTGTCTAGCTTCAAAGGCACAAAGTCTGCTTCGACTATAAAGGTACCCCGGAATTACCGGGTCACAAGAGAGTGACAAACATACAAAAGAAGTAGAGGAAATATGACGATACTAAGGATTAGGAAAGAAAAAGCAGCAGTTCCCTGTTGCAGTCCCGGAACAGTTATGAGCATGACATTGATGAATCAGTCCAATTTTACTGTTCATAAGAACATGGTTAATATACCCCCTTTGGGAATGGCCTAAAGACACTTCAGTCAGTAGTACTTCCCTGGGGGGGGGATAATAATACATTTAGCGTCAATAAAAACCAGACACATTTTAATTGCGTGTTTCATGAAAAGTTGAAAACCCATTGAGATGAAATTTTCCACACGTGATTGTGAACACTTGACACTCCTGATCAGCCTGCATTTATGATCAGGTGCCCAGTTAATAAAGCTCAGGTCTTGTTTTGTTAAAAACCGTGTTTTGTCATTTTTCTCGAACGTTTTTTGTTTTTTAAATTATATTTTACGGGTTAAACACATCTTTTATCTGTAGCCAAGAATAAAACGTTAAAAGTTTCATTTCAAAACATCTAAATCTAAAGATACAGCATGCCGCGTTTAACGAATGAAGAGCGCAATCAGGCAGTTGGTATGCTGAGGGCCAATACGCCAGTAGCGAATGTTGCAAGGACCTTCAATGTGACAAGAGACACGATATATCGACTAATGAATCGTTTGCAGACGTCTGGATCCGTGCAGGATGGTCCCTGGACGGGTCGTCCTAGAGCTACAACACTAGCCCATGACTGGTACATTCGGGTCTTGCACCTACGAGATCGCCTACGGCCTGCTACCAAGACAGCCAGGGGGTGGAAGGGACGGAGAACCATAAGTGCCCCGACTGTGCGCCGACGCCTTAGACCTCAGCCGGTCACCTTGGATCAGCTACGTACAGCACTTACAAACATATGGAACAACATTCCCCAGCATTCCATACAAAGACTTGTGCGAAGCATGCGGCAGAGGTGCACAGAAGTCGCCAATGCCCACGGCGGCTATACGCGGCATTAACTGTGACTTTTCCTTTTAGGGCCTACAATTAAAAGATCAAATTTCAGGAAATAAAGTTCATTTTTTAAAATTGTTTTTTATGTAATTGATTTGTAAAATGTTCAAACTTTCCCTATAAAGAGATTGTTTGTGGTTAAAATCAGTCTTTCAATACAAAAAAACACTTTAAAAAGGGGTGTCTGGTTTTTTTTGACGCCAAGTATATGTGAGCTGATTTTTTTAGTCATAATTTGAGTGGGTGACATTGGTTCACCTTTCAAAGAGATATTGAAATTTGAGGATAAGTTGCGTCACGAAACTTTTGACTGCACTTTAGATTTAATTATTCCAAGTTTGAAATATAACGTGTAAGTTAGCATTTTCAGCATAAAGATATGTGTTTCAAGTTACAAGCGCACATTACCCACACAAATGTTCAAGAAAGAATGAAGGTCTGATCGTCTTGTATCCACAAACGTAGATGGAAGCGACTCAGAATTGAAGGGGTACACCCCCAAAGTCCCAATACGGCTCACAAGTATGGCATTTGAGTTGTTGGCATTTGTAGCTTCCTCAGCCCCTCCAACAATTATTATTTCATGGCATAAGAACCCTCAAAAGCCTTATTTCTTGCAACATCGGGCATCTTTGTCCCCACCTTTTCCTCATTAAGTAAATATTTTATTTTTCTTTATCGGCCGTTTTCTCAAAACGCAATTTTTTTCTACACGTTTTTGAATAGCTCTACCATTTTTCATCCAATCTTCATGAAATTTTCTCAGAATGAAGAGAAGATGTAAGGCTAATAATTTTTTTCTTGAAATTTTGATATATGGAATAGATTTTTGGTAGGTATGGAGTGCGGATTTTCTCGGCTTTTTTTTGCAAATTTGACAACTACCTCAGGAAAACAATTCATTAAAAAAATTCTAATTTGTTTAGGAAAAAATCAGCAAACAAATATTTCGATCTAATGTTGGCTAACTTGCATGCAAAAAAATCAATCAATTTCCAAGAATGATAAGTGCGGTATTTATTTCGTAAGACATGTCAAAAAAATCCAATATGGCCCCTGTATCCATGGAAACAAAACGTTTTCTCAAATCTGATTGCCGATTTTGAGACTCGTTACCATGCTTGTTATACGTGTGAAATATGGTAAAATTTGGTCCCCTGATAAGCGAGATAGCCTTCAGGTGTAGCCCTCCCCCTCTCCCTCTTAAGCTGTAGCTTGTGGGATCAGCCACCCGTTTGGTTCTGTTTGGGCATAAGGGGTTATTGGTATAATCTTACAGCTAGTTTATTTGTCTTTCTTCAATTTCTGGAATAAAAGTATCTGGAATATTCCATTCATCAACACAACGAAGCACGACTCTCTTAAACTAGGGGGCACTATAATGTGGCCCTAAGCAGGAACTCTCTGTCTGTCTGTCTGTCTCTCTGTTCGTCTATTTGTCTGTCTGTCTTCTGTCTGTCTGTCTGTCTGTCTGTCTGTCTGTCTGTCTGTCTGTCTGTCTGTCTGTCTGTCTGTCTGTCTGTCTGTCTGTGTCATTTGCTCTCAAACTCTGTCTCACTCACTCTCTCTATCTTTCTCTCTCTCTGTCTCCCTCACACAGACAAAGACACACACACATAAACACACACACACAAACGGACGCACACTTACACACACACGGTCAAACACACTCACATACACACATTCACATAAATAAACATATATACATATACACATGCACACAAACACACATACACACATGCACACAAACATACACATACCCCCCCCCCCCCACCAACCCACCTACCTACCTATCCACACACACACAAACACCCACCCACAAAAAACACACATAAACACACAAACACACACAAACACACACAAACCATTACCCGTGCACACAAAACACCAATACCCCTGTGCGCCATAACATACCCTTCCCCCCCCCCCCCCACCAACCCACCTACCTACCTATCCACACACCACACAAACACCCACCCCCAAAAACCACACATAAACACACAAACACACACAAACACACACAAACCCCTCCCACACACACCCACCACTCCCTAAGCACTCACCACTAACTCCTCTGCCCCCCCCCCCCCCAATCCAATCTATACATCTAAACAGGTGCGGCAGTACCTGCAGGGCAGCGGAGAAGAGGAAGACTTTGACCCCACCGCGGTTCTGGTGGTCACCTGGTTGGACATGGAGCCCTACAACTGGTGGTCGTGGTACTGTCGCTACTACAGCCGGTACTACAGCGGTTACTACAGCAGCTGGTTCCAGAGATACATCGCCAAGTACTGCAACAACTCACAGGTAACTTTTTAAAAAATAGAAGGGGGTTTTACGGCGCTCGCAACTGCATAAGGTCATATGAGCGCGAAGGGGTGGGTGTCAACAGAGAAGTGTTTACAGGGAATCAGACTTAGACTGCTCACCTCTCTAGCTTCAACAGCACAAGGTCTGCGTCGACTATCAAGGCACCCCAAAATAGCAGGTCACAAGAGAGTGACAAACATACAAAAGAAGTAGAGGAAAATGACAATAGTAAGGATCAGGAAAGAAAAAGCAGCAGTTCCCTGTTGTAGATCAGGGACAGTTATGAGGGTGACATGAGTCAGCCCATTTACAATTCTACTATGCTTTAACGAGAATGTCCCCCCTTTGGGAATGACCTAAAGACACTTTAGTCAGTGGCACTGCCCCGGGGATGCCAGGTGACTTTAGTTTAGTAAGGTCATTAAATAAGGTAATTAAAAAAGGTAATTAAATGAGGTCGGAAAATAAGGTAATTAAACATGGTAAGAAAATAAGGTAATTAAAGAAGGTTAGAAAATAAGATAATTAAATAAGGTAAGAAAGTAAGGTAATTAAATAAGGTAAGAAAATCAGGTAAGTGAATAAGGCTAAGGTAATTAAATAAGGTAAGAAAATAAGGTAATTAAATAAGGTAAGAAAATAGGGTAATTAAATAAGGTCAGAAAATAAGATAAGTGAATAAGGTAAGAAAATAAGGTAAGTGAATAAGGTAATTAAATAAGGTAAGAAAGTAAGGCAATTAAATAAGGTCAGAAAATAAGATAAGTGAATAAGGTAATTAAATAAGGTAATTAAATAAGATCTTTATTCGCCACTGCAAAAGGTCACATGAGCGTGCGGTACACATTGAACCTTTTCAGTTGGTAGGACATTTTGAATTTTGCCCCGAGTGGCGGCCGAAGCTTCCCTCTTATCGATTTTAGACCACAGATGGATCTTTAACGTGCAAATCAGGACCTCCAAGATTATTTTTTTTTGCCCTTGTCCGAAAAGGCTAGTTGCAGATCTTTTCTATCAAAAGATCAGGGATGTGGCTGAAAGACAGCAGTGAGAAGGAGCCAAGGAGTAGCAGTAGAAAGCTGCAGATAGAGTCAGGAGCCCAGAGGAGAGGGCAACGGGTGTGTGGGGTGGAGGCAGAAATAGGAGACGAAATCAGACGACAGGACATTCTTAGATAGCAGGAAAGGAATTGAAAGGAGACAATTTTAGAGAAGAAAATGTTTCCGTCCCGGGATCTTTGAAAGAGAGGCGAAGACCTTAAGCTCTAGTGGTTAGGCTCTCGGACTCGCAACCGTAAGGTCGTGGGTTCGAATCCCGTCAGGGGCCCGACGTTGTGTCCTTGGGAAAGGCACTTTACACGAATTTTCCTCACTTCACCCAGGTGGGAATGGGTACCCGGCTATAGACAGCGAAAGATCTTGTCAGTTTGTTAGTGTTTGAGCGCTTAATCGGCTGCTCGCACTGTATGCTTCCCGGGAAGCTGAGAATGTTTCGGAGTGGTCTATAGTCTGCTGGGGTAATAATATAGTGTAAAGCGCATAGAGCCTGCTGTTGAGCGGGGATATGCGCTATACAAATGCTATCTATTATTATTATTATTATTACGAGAACCCCCAACTTTGTTTAAGTAAGGTCATATGAGCGCCAAGGGGTGGATGTCAACAGAAAAGTCCAAACGGGTAATCAAGCTTGCTCTGCTCACCTCTCTAGTCCCAACAGCACAAAGTCTGCTTCGACTATCAAGGCACCCCGAAAATAGCAGTTCACAAGAGAGGGGGGGGGGGCTGTTTACGTTTTTTTTTCTGGCACTCTTTTATTGCGTTTTGCCCATTTCTTTTTTCGCGGCGAACTTTATGAATTCACGAGGTGAGTCCTCTGGTGGCATGTGTGCGTGGTGGCGTCGGTGGCTTAGTTGTCAGGTTACCAGACTCGTAATCGTGAGGTTGCGGGTTCGCGGGTTCGAGCCGCGGGCTCGACGTTGTGTCCTTGGGAAAGGCACTTTACACGAATTTTCCTCACTTCACCCAGGTGGGAATGGGTAACAGCCATAGACAGCGAAAGATCTTGTCAGCATGCTAGTGTTTTAGCGCCTATAAATGGCAGCCTGCACTGTATGCTTCCCAGGAAGTTGAGGTTGTTTCAGAATGCTCTCATATCTGCTGGGGTCATAATAAAGATTGTGAAGCGCATAGAGCTTGCTGTTGAGCGGGGATTTATTCTATATAAATGCAATCTATTTATTATTATTATCATTATTATTATTATTATTATTATTATTATTATTATTATTATTATTATTATTATTATTATTATTATTAGTATCATCATCATCATCATTCTTCTTCTTCTTCTTCTTCTTCTTCTTCTTCTTCTTCTTCTTCTTCTTCTTCTTCTTCTTCTTCTTCTTCTTCTTCTTCTTCTTCTTCTTCTTCTTCTTCTTCTTCTTCTTCTTCTTCTTCTTCTTCTTCTTCTTCTTCTTCTTCTTCTTCTTCTTCTTCTTCTTCTTCTTCTTCTTCTTCTTCTTCTTCTTCTTCTTCTTCTTCTTCTTCTTCTTCTTCTTCTTCTTCTTCTTATTATTATTATTATTATTATTATTATTACTATTATTATTATTATTATTATTATTACTATTATTATTAGTCATGTTCCTACGCTATAGTGCCCCTTTAAACATTATTTATTAGCGAACAGATTGAATTGACAGATTAAAAAAAAAATATCGCTGTTTTTTATCCTGCAGGTCCCTGAACGAAACAGCTTCCAGGCTGTGTACATCACGGACGGTCAGCGAGCCTTTACCCTGGTCACTTACAGGTACATGATGTAGTGGGTCACCACACGGTGGAATCAGGCGATCGTTTGATTTTGGTGTTTTTTTTTGGTCGTTAACCCCTCCAACTCCCCCCCCCCCCGAAGGGAAAAAAAAAGATTTGTATCTGGAATAAATGTCAAGATGTTTTTCGATTGAAGAAAGTGGGGGTCACCTGGTGTCAGAAGTAGAATTAGCGAGATAATCGCCTGGAAACTGCGAATTTCCATTTTGTGGTGCCTATGAACAACAATAATTTATACTCTCTTTGTTTGGTAGGTGTATTGCGGCGCTCGCAACAGAATAAGGTCATATGAGCACGCGGGACACACCAAACATTTTCAGTTAGAAGAACATTTTGAATTTTGGCCAGGTGGCAACCGAAGCCTACTCTTATCTATTTTTGGACCACCAAGGGATCTTTAACGTGTGCAACTTACACACGGGACCTCTGAGCTTTTTGGCCCTTGTCCAAGAAGGCCAGGTGTAGATCTTTCCTACCAGAAGATCAGGTGTGCGGCTGAAAGACAGCAGTGAGAAGGAGCCGAGGAGTAGCAGTAGAAAGGATGCAGAAAAAGTCAGGAGCCCAGAGGAGGGGGCAAAGGTGAAGAGGTGGGGACAGAAAAGGAGACGAAAGAAGACGACAGGACATTGTTAGAGAGCATAAAAGGATGTGGAAGGAGAACATTTTTAGAGAAGAACATTTTCCGTCGTTATCCGGATTCGAACCCGAGATCTATGAACTATGAACACCTTAACCTCTAGACCACGAGATGTAGTGTGTCATGACACTGGGGAATCAGGTGTTCGTTTAATCTCTTGGCATGTGCAGCTATAGTTATCGTCATAAAGCTTATTCATTTGCCTTGCCTTTATTGTAGAGAAAACATGGTTTCTGAGTAACATACGTCGATATAATTATTTGCTACTGAAAGGAAATAGGGGGAAGGGGGAGGGGGAAGGGTGACCCTTGTCAGAGGCAATATTAGCGAGACAACCGCTGCCAAAGTTCGGTGACCTACAAAGCTTTATTAAAATACGAATTTACATTTTTTCGTGTGCCTGTGAACAACCTTTTTTTCTGAAAAATTCTCACTGAAATGGGTTTTTATCCGGACATACAGTTTTGGAGCCAAAAGGAAAAATAAGTCAACAAAAATTGCCTCACTGATGCAAAATTATCAGTTTCTACGATTTCAATATTATATTGATAACGCCTGACTTCACCATAATGGATACCATCACTGGCAAAGCGTCTATATAATCAAATAATCACTGCTTCCCTTCCTAATTTTGAAACAATGTCGCAGTCAAATCCACCCATAGACGTAAAC